TATAATTTATATGTATGGTTTCAAGAGTTAAAGGTTCAGCAAGAGACAGTAGAAAGAATTAGAGCACCAATCTTTATCGTTTAAAATCCTTTCGGATCTATGCATGATTTCACACAAACTATTGGTAGTGTATATCAACAAATATACGAAAATTATAAAATTTAAGGGGATCAGCTACATTCTCTATTGAAAATTTCTTAAGGACACATTTTCTCTAGTAAACACCTGAAAAAGATGTTGCTTGTACATTTTCGAAAGTAATCGTTGGTTGTGCATCATCTTCAGATGAATCATAATCACCAGCATTTCCATCTGATTCGTCAATATCATCATTAATAGTTTCTTCGTTATTTTCATCATAATCAACTTCATCATGATCTTCTTCATCGTCAACATTGTCTTCTTCAGCACCATCTAAACCAGGATCATCATCATCATCATCATCATCATCATCTTCTTCTTCTTCTTCTTCCTTTTTCTCTTCCTCTTCTTCTTCATCATCAAGACGTTCTTCAAAGTCATATCCATCAAAATTATCTTCTTCATCACTATCTTCACTATTACTACCATCAATAATCAGTATTTCCGTTTCAGTTAAATTGTTTAATCTCAATAATTTCTCTGCCAATTGTGATGATTGTTCCATATCGAAAAGATCGTATTTAATTAGATCTTTACTCATTCCTACTGATATTGCCAGATATTGTGCTGCTTCATATGCTTGAACAATTATTTTTTCAATGTTGCTAGAATTAAAATCAGTAATTTCATCAGTAATATTCAATTCAGATTGATTAGTAAGTTTTTTGATTTTGTGATGAATAGGAAAATTAATTTTTTCAATTTTGTTTGTTAATTCGAGTTGCTTGAGTTCAGTAAGAGCATTAAGTTTATTAATTCGTTTGAGAAATTGTTTCATAGTAAAATTTATTTGAGTTGAATAAACTCCTGATAATGCGCGTGCGTCTCGAAAGACGCTTTCACATGGTTGAGATGAGAATATATGAATAGAATCTGCTAATGATTCAGGTACAAATTTTTGTTCAATTAATAAATAGATGTAAATCAAACAGTGTGCGTTTATTTCGATGGATAATAAAGCATTTGATGTGATAAAAAAATATTGATCACTTGATGTTTTATTTTTGGTTGTTGATTTTCTTTTTCGTTTGGTAAGATAAAGCCATATTCGCCAGAGACGACCGAAAAATAGTACTATCCAAGCATAGTAAATTCTAGTTAATAGAGAAACTTGACGATTTGTATAAGCCATTGTTAACAGATTTAAAAGTAATAAATAGTTGTATGTGGCTTTATATTGTTCATTAAATGATAACATAATCAATACTTTATCATCTGAAATTCGTTGACAAGACGAAAAATTCTGCCTATCCCTAATATTTAAAGCTGATTCGCATAAATTATGATCAATTTTATTTGTTGTTTTAATTAATTGATGCAAATGTATTATTTATACATTATAAGAACCCATTTTTAACTTAGTACTTTTCGATAACAATCGATTTCTAATTTTACAACATAAGTGTATGCCGTCCTGCATACACAAAAATAATTGGGTACGATTGAGAAAATGCCAAGTAGACCAACTAGATGGAATATTAATTGTAAAAGATAATTTGTTATTATTAATATTCAATGTCTGTGTTTTAACAAAAAAATTTAATGCTATACGCATTGAGCGTAAATACTTTGGATCTCCATCAGCAGAAAATCCCAGTACACGAATATTCCTAGAAAACAATTCTTGATAAATCATTATCCACTTTTTCACAATATCGATTGAAGTTAGTTTATTATCTGTGCCGTACGCTGCTAAAACTGAGGGTGGTGGTGCTAAATCAAGAGTATGATCATAAATAGGTTGTATCAAATGTACATTTACTAATTTAGCACGTGTTTTTGTTTCAATTGCAAGTTTTAGCTGTTCAAATGATTTGTAGTTGAAAGCATTTTCAATTGGAATTCCTTCCAAAAGTGGTGTAACAAAACCATTGAAAGTATTTAATGTTGAATCATATTCAATTTTTGGAATGATAGCTGAACAATCTTCAGATAAAAAAATAAATTGACATCCGATGGAATCAAGATAATTCTTTGATTCTTTAAAGTGAAGTTTAGCCTCTGAAAAAGGATTATCTGTATAATATTTTTTTACTGTTTGAATTGATGGTAAAATAAATTTAAGATTTAGGCGAATATATTCGTAAACATAAATACCAGCAAGTATAAATAGACAAGTAGCAAATCGTAATACAGGTATTGAATATCGATAGTTATTAGATGATCGATGTCTATTTAAATCAATTGTATTTAGTAATGTGCATAAAATATCTGAACTATTGGTATTAGTAGATGAAATATGAATCATTCGA